GAATGTACTCAACAAGTCCACCCACCGAGGAAGGAACTCAGTCACATAACATTCCAAGATTTGAAGGAGAAATTGACTGTCCCAGTTGCACAAGTCTCGTCTTTCACTTTGGAGCCTTCCAAAGGAAATACCCAAGTTGGTTAGATAAAAGGGAACTTTGATCAAAAGGTCTTCACATTGTTTGAAAAATCAGGTTACGACTTCTCAAATCCAGCAAAGTTAGGAGAACTTAGGGATGAAGTCACTGGTGAAAAGATACACAGACTTACAAATTCTCAAATGAAGTTGAGAAAGCAAGGATATCATGTCGCCAACCCTAAGTTTGGGTTAGGATTCAGCTTGCCGGAGCCTCTTCGGATTTCATCTAAGAAGGGGAAAGAAATAACTTCATCTCATTACACCTCTATAGAAAAGACAAAGGATTCTAAGGAGGGTAAAACACCACGATTGACTTCAGTGTTTGAACGCATTGGAAGATTGACACCACGTGTCTCTGCATTTGAAAGATTGGGCCGCAAGGATGAAAGAGGATCCTCTAAACAAGTGGAAGAATATGTCACCACCTCAAAGGCTTCTGTATTTCATCGTTTGGGAACCAAAAGAAAGTCATTATCCGAAAGGAGGTTGCTGGAGCATGAAAATCAAGATTCTTGTGATTTAACTGACGACAAATAGATTCATAGTGTTTTCCCATCACGTATGAAGAGAAAGACTGTATTGTCGATCACCATCGATGGTTCTTTGAAGGTGAAAAGAAACACAATTGTTGTCACCAAACAGTTTCATGGAGAAACTAATAAGGAGGAAGATGAAACCATTACAATGGGAAGTCAGATGGAAGACTCAAACTTGACACAATCATCATATCACATAACAGTGGAAGAAGGTCCAGACATTGATGATACAGATGATGATGTCCAAGAGGCTCCCCCTCAACTAGAGGATGGCGTACAATCAACCATAGACGACCTCAAGGAACTAAATCTAGGCACTCTAGAAGATCTGCGTCCAATCTTTATTAGTGCACTTCTTACACCAGAAGAAGAGAGGAAATACTTCAAGTTATTGGTTGAGTTCAAGGATGTTTTTGCTTGGTCGTAGAGAGAAATGCCGGGCCTTAGTCCCAGGATAGCTAGTCATCATTTGGGGATCAAAAAAGGAACACGTCCTATAAAGCAGTCACAACGAGTGTTTCGTCCTGAGTTGGTAACACAAATTGAAGCAGAGGTCAACAAGCTCATCGAAGCTGGATTTATCCGAGAAGTGAAGTACCCGTTGTGGATCTCAAATATTATACCTGTTAAGAAGAAGAATGGTCAAATACGTGTATGCGTTGATTTTCGAGATTTGAACAAGGCATGTCCAAAGATGACTCCCTCTACCAATCATTGAAGCTCATGGTGATGCTACAACTGGGACATGAAGCTATGTCATTTATGGATG